ACAAACATGGATTATTATAAACTGTGAATCATGCAAAGCTACTTCTATTAGTAGGCTCAAAGAATTCAAATATGGAGCAGGAAACGAGCATAAGAGGCCCCCTTTAAGAACAGGAAAGTACTCCAATGTCATTAAGAAAATCAAAAGATGTTTTTGCTGTGTCTAAATTGAAAAATACATTTTTGGGGGGAAAATAATGTCAGCTTATAATCAACCTTTGATTAAACACATGCATGTCCCGGATACTCTTCTGCTCCTTTGATGCCAACAGTTCTTCACATTTTTCAGAATGCTGAGGGAATGTTTTGAGGAAGAGGAGGGCAGGTATGAGCAACTGTCAAGGTGCAGCTTTGTCATTTGTATTGTGGTAGTGATGATCCAAGGTTCAGTAAAGAGGGTTCATGGAGAAGGAAGGAAGAAGCAGGAAAAAAAAAAAAAAAATTGCTGGATACCATCGTGTATTTTCCTGGATCCTGAAAGAGTTACTGTCCTTTTCCAAAGACCCATGTGTCCATTTGCAATCATCTTTTCTTAGAACAAAGTAAGAATGAAGGAAAATAAACTGTAGCAACAACTATACCTTGAAGCCCTGAAACAAGAGCAAATATTTAAATTAAACAAGCAATTAAAAAAACTAAACAAAACAAAAAAACAAAAACCACGCTAGACCTCACCTGTCAGTTTTACTTGCATGCAGAGCTGGAAAATTCTATTTTCCCATGTGCTCAAATGGCACGCTGACCTGCAGAGGACAGTACAGATTCAAGATAAAGAGTCAGCAATTACATCTCTCTTTCTCTCTCTCTCTCTCTCTCTCTCTCTCTCTCTCACACACACTCACACTAAAGCAGGACAAAATTATACCACAACGAATCATGTCCTAACCCCATTAGATACAGTTCAAACAACAACACTGATAACTTTGCAAGCTAATTACATTGTTAATGCTTTCACATTTTTTTTTAAATCTCGTTCTCTCCTTGCTGTTCTTCTTCGTTAGTATTGAGTGCAGTCTTGGCAGACAGAATAGGCGATACTACACCATAGCGTCCTGTAGTGTATTGAAGTTACAAAAACATATATGCGGGCGAATCGTTGCAGCCCTACATACCATGTATTAATTTATCCTCTCCCAATTACATCAGTCATCTATCTGCCTGTCCTACCCCCAAAGTCTAACCTTCTGTCACCCTTGTATGCCGTTTTTTCTTCTGTTGTTAAGTAGGAGGGGCTAAAATGGCTCTCTCAATGTCGAAGTTTGCTGACTCCAGTTTAGACGAATCAATGCTGTACAAAGTAGCATTATATATATTATTTAAATAATCAGGCCTGAGTCAAAAGCTCAAGCTTCAGACTCCTTTAAACACTCGGCTATCTACTCTTAGAGGTTTATGATGCCAGCGCTAAGCCTAAAAGAAGAAATCTTTAACGGAACGGAACTAAAATGGCTAATTACAGACTGTGGATGAACACAGATGTGGCAAAAAGTCCCAGTATAAGAATCAAACAAAGCTACTTTAGCAGGGTTCAAGAATAAAAATGTAGAGGTAAAAAACAAATGATTATCATCACCAGCCTTGTGGGTTACCTGATCAACCCCAGAGCCTTTTCTCACCTGTGACGTAGAAATTCTCGATTGGTCGTGGCGGGCTGTGAGGTCAGAGGATGATACGTTGGCAGGAGCACCACGGTGGAGCCGCATGCTCACCTTCCTCTCTCGCTCTGCACGAGAAATTGCACGTGGTGACGTGTTACCTAAAACACAATAAAAACGCCTAGATTAGATAAAAATATTCAAGAAAAAAGAAAAATACTCTGGTGCCCCGTCTTATTCTGTTTCCTCTTTTTTTTCTCGTAATGCAGCAGTTAGCTGAAAACTCACCAGACTGCTGGACCCGAGAGGCAGGGTTAGAAATGGCTTGCTCAGGGCCGTTCCTGACTCTGTTGGGAGCTCCAGGATTTGGACCTGGAGGGAGGCCTCGCGATGCAGACCCCCTGGGGACTCCTCCGATCCGCTCATCTCTCTCATCCGCAGTCCTCCTCTCCCTATCCCCATCCTCAGCTGTCCGACTGGCACCCTTTTAGATGAGATAAGCCATCTTAAGCCTAACTACTGACAGGTAGCCGTATTATAATGTGGTGAAAATACAAATCAAAGCTCAAGTTAGAAACTGTAGATATAAACTTACAAATTTGAGCATGTTCCAGTCAAAGACATAATCGTAAGAGAAGCCCTGTCGGTGGAACAGATTCCTGAAGAGCTGTCGAAGGTAGGAGTAGTCTGGTTTGTCATCAAAACGGAGTGAGCGGCAAAAGTTCAGGTATGTGGAGAACTCCGCTGTAAGAGGGTAAATAAAAATAATGAGAGTAGAACAGAAAGTTCACTGTAGCTGTAAACTTTGTGTGATTAGATAATTGTTAGCATTCAATTTCATACTGAGAAAATACAATACAACATCTTAAAATAATTTCAGAGGTATGTGTAGTACACAGAGGCGCCCTGTGAGCCTCACTTACATGGGTATCCTTTGCAAAGAACTTCAATGGGTGTGGACATTTTCTTCTCGCTGATCCGTTCATATTTCTGTCTCTTTGTGGCAGCCTTGAGGCCCTGCCACGGGAGTGACCCCAGGTTGAAGTACATGAGGACGTAGCCAAGAGACTCCAGGTCATCACGTCTGGACTGCTCTGTAGACAGAACGCATGAGAGAGAGGGGGAAAGATCATTAGTCATCATAACAATCATTAAAAAAAAAAAAGTGCCCTGTAAATTTGTTTAAAGAGCATCAGAATGAAATTACAAAGCAACGTGAACCCACCCCCACAATCCCAGATAACTCTTCCTTCTTTACAGCCTGTATATATATCAGATACAGTGATGATAAAACGATGCCGCAGCGAAGAGGCACATCCTAAATTAAATGGCTGAATAAGAGGGACTTTTCACTAAACAGAAAACAGAGCTAGAGTCAGTAAATTTCAACACAGAAGAAATATTTAACACAAGGAAGAACTTCAAACACCATAAATTTTTTTGGGTGCTTTAACTCAATCATGTTACGATTTAGTGAAAGGCAAAAGATTATAGTAATTTGTAAGATTCCAGGTATTCCACAAATCCAGGTAAGTGCTAGAGGGTTTAAAAAGAGATGAGTGCCATAGAGTGGCTCTAAAGAATCACATTTAAAGTAATGTTTAGATGAAATCTCTACATCTGCTGTGGAGCTGATGAGATTTCTTTGAGTCACAAGTCTAAGGCTACTGAGATCACATCTTCATTAACACAGTCACAGCAGTTCAATGAAATGTAAAGCTTATGACACAGAGAGTGCATTTGCTGTCAGCTCCACTGTGGAGCCTGCCCACCTGCCTGCTGTGAGCACTGTGGTCAGATGGAGGCAGTGTACACACACACACACACACACACACAAACAAACAAACAAACAAAAACAGTCTGTGGGCCACTCTTGCTCATGTTGTTGTTGGTTCGTTAGCCGGCCATGGAGAAGAGCGTTCATTCGGCAAACATTCGGTAGTCGCATACATCCTCTGCTTTAAGCGGCACGCAGTTAGGATCTTGGAGTGGTGCATGGCAGCACATCTCACATGGGTGAGAACCTCTCTCCCCTCTGTGTGACCAAAAAGTGTACGCAGATGAATATATTTACAAGGATAAACCCCGTTTTAAGGTATATTGTCTCCATTGGTCATGATCACACAGTTATTTCTATTTGCCCTCCATTAGGGTACAGGGAGCTGTTGAACAATAGGTATCGCCACTCAGACGATAGCACCAGATAGCTGGATAGCATAAGAGGAGAAGTTGTTAAACTGCAAACAAAGACTTTGTTGAAAACTTTGCAATGAACACTCTCCAAAGTCTCAAGTTTTCAAACTATTGCACAGCTCCTTCTGTGTATCTATGCATCTCTGAGCTTCTGTACTTGAGTATCATTAAAATAGCAGTGAAAATCAACAGGATCATACTACAGCGGCTGCAGTGCAACATGCCAGGTTACAAAACTCGAGAGGTGCACGACCACAAACATTGTGGGGCCACAGCGAGCATAAGAACAACATTACAGAGAGACTGTATCAGTTTAAATCATTTGACTGATTATTTTACAAGGAAAGATCTGGTGCATCAGAAAATCTCTAAAGTTGAACTAACATATGGCACCTTAATACAGTTCTTTCTGCTTAAGGGAAGCTCTCTCTACTATATCAGTAAGAAACATTAATCACAATACAGAGCTGTAAGATAAATGCTCCAGATTATGTCTAAATAACTTAATAACAGCAGTACTCTGCAAAATTTAACAGCATGGTTTCATATCCAACACACCAAAGCCTTCATTAAAATGCAGGCAAATTAGGCTCACGTGTCTCCTCCAAGTCTTACCGATCCCAAGATGTGTGTTGATGGAGGCGTAGCGCGCTGTGCCCGTCAGGTTCTTGTTCTCCCGGTAAGGAATGTGCTGGTGTGTGCGGGCATCACGGTACTTCTTGGCCAGCCCAAAGTCAATGATGTACACCAAGTTGCCTTTCTTGCCGAGTCCCATCAGGAAGTTGTCAGGCTTTACATCTCGATGGATGAAGTTCTTGGAATGGATGTACTCAATGCGACTTATCTGGAGAGGAAAGGTGGGAGAGTGGTGAAACAATGTTAGCAGCACAAAAAGCCTCTAGGTAAAAACAAAGGTTACAATGGGACATGACAGGTCATCTTATATTTTACATCCCATGAGTTCAGCACTGCCCCTGTGGCATTTCCCAACTTAGAAAAACAGTTATTGTCACATGACCATTTCTTTTCTGAGTATATACTATCAAAACACTATATAAACATGCAAAAACAAAGAGTTCTGGAATCCAAAAATGTCACAATTTGTGTATGACTGTTTCTGAATGTGTCATAACAACCAGCATGAGACTGCAAGTCACCTTCCGGCTGTCCTTTACACTTCTTGACTTCCTGCCCAGCATATGCAATTAATATCTATTAACTGAAGCTACTGGTGTAAATGATCTCCACAACAGACTGAGCGTCACCACTTCCTGTAGAGTTTGTTTTTTGTTTTTTGTTTTTTTTGCTTTTTTAAAATCCCTGCAACCAGCAATGAAAGCTATGTACACAAAATGTGTTCTCATCCCATCTAAAAAGCCAGCCATACCCTTAGTGCCCTCAATACATCTTGGCTTTCTCATTCCATTGATATGAAAATAAGGCAAAATGTGCCTGAGGATGTATAAAGAGAAGCTTCAGCTGGAACAAAAGGTGAGATCAGCTGTGCTTGAGAGAGCCACCAATGAAATCGAACATCTAGGCCAGCACAGTCTACAAAAAGGCCAATATTACAAAACACACAAATCACAAAATTATCCCTGACTTTAACTGAGAGGTTCGTAGCATACCATCTGGTCAGCCAAAAGCAGGACAGTCTTTAGGCTGAATTTGCGGGAGCAAAAATTGAAGAGGTCCTCCAGACTAGGGCCGAGCAGCTCCATCACCATCACGTTGTAGTCTCCCTCTGCGCCACACCACTTTATAGATGGAATGCCCACTAGTGAAGACACACATCAAATCAGAACAAAGCCCCCGAATCGTGGCACACACACTGCTGGTTGGACATTTATCGTCATCTTCACTTTACACATTTAGCAGATTTCATAGGATTTGCATCTCCTATGCCGTCTTGGCCAATAAATTCAAGAAGGAATGTGTTGAAAAATCTTGACAAGCATGTCCAAGCTCTAATTTCTTACCTCCTCCTTGCATCATCTTGTAGAACTTGCTTTCAATGTGCAGCTGTGGGTGTTTGGTCTTCACACATTCCAGCTTGATGGCTACCTCCTCACCAGTGGCGATGTTGGCACCTGAAGAGACACGTGCAGAAATACCCACAGCAGTCAAGACAATTGCACCTTTGCATGTGCGAGGACCAAAGACGAATGAGCATAAAGGAAAATCTGAGTTCAGTGCCTGGATAAAGGAGGGGGGAAAAAAAAAAAAGAGAGAGAATGGTACAGTTTGAAAAGACAGGCTCTCCACACACTAATGTGGAAAGAACCTCACCGGGCAGAAAGCTGGGTAAAGCGTTTAAGAACTGAAGAAAAAAAAAGAAAAAAGAAAGTGGATGCTTCAACTTACCGAGGTAAATGTCTCCAAAAGAACCACTCCCTATCTTTCGCCCGAGCCGGTACTTGTTCCCAACTCTCAGCTCCATGCTGCCAACTTGTCACTGTCACAGTGGGAAAACGCAGATATTAAAAATAAAGCAACAAACATACAAACTGAGCATCATCGCTCCTCTTTCACCACTTCAGCTACAACCATGACCATTTCCTGAACTTTCCTCTAAGGGCAGAAAGAGGGAATTTATCCTCGAGGGTCAGTCAACTGCTCACATGATGTGTACCAATCCCTCAGCACTCAAGTGTTCACATGTTTTTGAGACAGAATGTGGCCCAAACAGGGCCAGTTGTTTAGCAAACAGCTGTCTGGTGCCCAGAAATACAAGATCAGATTTGTAGGGCAGCTAGGGGTGAGAGAGAGGCAGCTGCAATGAGATCAGCAAAAACATGGAAGGGAGGAGAAAGAAAAACAGGGAAAAAAAACAGAGAGGTCATGCACAAATGCCAGTTTCCACTTGGAAGTGGAGTGAACCAGAATCAACGGACTTGGCACACACGAGGAAATGAAACAGCTTTTTTTTGGGGGGTTTGTGTGCGTGTGTGTCGAGCTGATTTGCACGTGATGCCGGAGCAGGATCATCACTTATTTAGTGCTCGCTCCACCACGCCACATTGTGCAGCCATTGCAAAAGCAAGACTAAGCTCTCTGCCGCTCTGCGCTGGCACTGCCAAGCGAGTGAAGGCATGAGCAGCCAGGGAGCACTGACTGGCTTTATCTATGTCAAACTCCACAAAGCGCTGCACAGACTTTATCAGCATGGACATTTCTACTGTCGCCACCCTTTAACACTACTCCAACAAAACGTCATATTACGGTGACGCTTGTTTATAAAATGCTGTCGCTTTTGAGTTTCAACCCTCAACTTTCCAACCGAACGTTTGCAAAGCACAGAACGCCCTGCATCTTCTTCACAATCCCTGTGTTGCATCTGCCAACTCAAGAACCATTATAAAATCCCAACTTTAAATGACTCCACATATTAGTTTTGCTGGAACGCAGACACAAGCTCTAAAAAACACCCAGGAATCACCATCATGGATCAGCGGAACCTTGCTTTTCATCAGCAGCAACTGCATCACAAAGGCCGTATGATCCTGATGAACTCTACCTGATGAGGACAGCCTGCTAGGAGATGTGATAGAGGCAGATGGATCTGGGTCATTAAAGAGTGAGAGTTCATGTCTCATGTGCTGCAGCCAGGTCTCCCAATTTAGGGAGGAACACTAACACAAGGTTACACCTAAAGGGTACAACGAAAGTGCCAATGGTTAATTACTTCATATAGGAACAGTGGCACAAGACGCTAAATACAAGACTCTACCCATATTATTTGAGATATTTTCTCATGAGATACTAAAAGACTAAGACAGACTTTAGTACAGCAAATGCAGTTATTGCAGTAACGTGAAGAGTCTGTGATTTGAGGTTTCAAAGGTGCCTTGTGTGAAGTGAAGCAAGTGGAATTAGCCTGTCACACTGCACTGGAAAAACACCATGTGCTATTACGGTAGTAATCGTCTACACGAGAGTGGATTGGTTAAGATGGTACAGTACACATCTGCTGGATGGGGGGAGTCTTAGTGGTGACTGCTGAGACAGGATGTCCTGAGGATGTTGTACACTGTGGTTGAAAAATCACACACACAGACAATATATCACTAAAATGACCTCAATCTGAAGTTAAATTATCGTGCGTTTTCCAGACATGTAATCGTTTAGATGGATGTTTAAAAAAGTGCTATACTTGGAAATTATTATCGCTCTTTTAAAACAAACAAGTACTGTAACAGAGAGCCAAAAGATTTCACAATCACACGAAGAAAAGAACAGAGCTAACGTTATGCCTCTCGCACACGGACAGCTGTCACTACTACACAAACAACTCGCGTGTTACAGACTCCACGCTGAATGCGTGTGTTAATATCGCCTAAAGTTGCAACACAAATGTATGTTGTTGTTGTTTTTTTATAACGGCAACGCTACATTTCTCTTTCCTGTTTGCAATTTGACAAGTAGCAAGCCAGTGGCGAATAGGCAAGAGCAACAAATCTGCCGTAGTTTCAGTTACGGTTTTTTTTTTTTAATTGCTAAGATTTACTGAGTATTTACTGAGTGTTTATTGAGTGTTTCTGTATAATTTGAGGACGTTTCGAGTAACGTTAGTGAAAAACATCAGCGCTAGGCTGCAACATTAGTTAAGAGTTAGCTGCTAAGAGTAAGCTAGGATAAATACGTTAACGGAACCGTGATACGCGTAGCCCCGTTAATACTGTAAAAAAAATAGAATAAAGAAAGCTAATAATATTTAATATTATACTTCGTCACATTTTATATTATAACCGCACCCATGTATGTCACTGGACAAGCCTGTGCAGATCCCTACTACGCGCCCCCTCCCCCTCTCTTGGAAGCCGTGAATAGGAGCGTCTGATTCGGCCGAATCTGGCCCCTTTTCCCCCTTGGTTTCTCCGGTTCCCTGACCCAGCACTCACCCGATATTAGGTTCGTCCGAGAGCTGGGTTGGTGGAGGTTCTGATCCGATGGTTGTCAGTCGGACAAGAGCCCGGGTAGTGGAGGATGGAAGCGGATTCTGGTGGCTCTCATACCCCCAGCTCTTAGCTCAGTCGTCGACTGCACTCCCTGTTAATAGTCCCTGAGATGCTCCGGCAGTACGACGGCCGTTCTCCGCTCGAGTCTGTCTCCCCCTCTCGTTACTTAACGACGTGCGTGTTCACAGCGCAATGATGTCATTCCCTGAATGTCAGTGCACTGCCATTAAAGGAAAACGCCACATATAACGACTCCTATATCTGCAAATTTACCATTCACGAATAACTATCCAATACCATTATTACTGTCATTCGTTTTTAGTGTAAATAGTCAAGTGTGTGCATACTCCTGCATTAATAATGAGATAATTATGTAGTACTACTACTAAGTATGCAAGAGTTTTTTTGTTTTTTTTAATCCCTGGATAAACTATGTCCCTGCACAGTTTTTCACTTTGCCATTATTCTTGTTCCTACCTTCCATGTGTTAAAATCTGATGCCAAAGGTCGTTTCTTGAATCCAATCATTTTCAATTCAGTTTTATTTATATAGCACCAAATCACCAGTTGCCTCAAGGAACCTTGTATTGTAAGGTAAAGAACCTAAAATAATACAGAGAAAACTCAAGTCAGACTTTAGCCCAAGCGCTTGGTGACAATTTTAACAGGAAGAAACCTCCAGCAGAACCAGGCTCAGGGAGGGGTCAGCTAGGACCAGTTGGGAAAGAGAGAGAGAGAGAGAGAGCTCATCCTACATACAGTCCTAATCAAAAGTTTAAGACCACTTGAAAAATGGCCAAAAGAAAAACCTGTTTTGCATAGTGGGATCTTAAAAAGCTTCCAAGTAGAGCTTCAACATGCAACAAGAAGAATTGGAGATGAGACAAAAAAAAAATTTGAGCATGCAATTTATTGAAAACAACCCTTAAATGGAAACAGGCTGCTTTACAGCTGATCTTTAGGACCACACCACCAAAAAAAAACAAAACTCTAAACCCTCCCAAAACAGAAATCAAGTTAGTAGTAGTAGTAGTTAGTAGCTCCACTGTTACTGTTGATCACTTCAAAAATTTGTTGCAGCATGCTTGATGCAAGCATTTCCATGAAGTGAGTGGGAACATTTCTGCAAGTGGTGAAGATGGTCTGGAACTGTTGTCCACTTTTGTAAACTTCCCTTGCCATTGATCTGAAAAGGTTCTCAATTGAATTTAGATCAGGGGAACATGCAGGATGGTCCAAAAGAGTGATGTTATTCTCCTGGAAAAAGTCCCTCGTCCTGCAAGCATTGTATACTGTAGCATTGTCCTGTTGAAAAACCCAGTCATTACCACGCAGACGAGGGCCCTTAGTCATGAGGGATGCTCTCTGCAACATCTGGACATAGCCAGTGGCTGTTTGACATAGTAGGCCGTTTTGAGTAGTGGGATCTACTTGTCATGCCAGTAACGTTGGAAACAATCGGGGCCATCAAGGTTACATTTTTTCTCATCAGAGAATAAAGCCTTCTTCCACCTTTCAATGTCCCATGTTTGGTGCTCTCTTGGAAAGTCCAAACAGTCAGTTCTGTGGCGTTCAAGGAGACAAGGCCATTGAAGACGTTTTTTGTTTTTGAAGCCCTTCAGTGTCAGATGCCATCCGATGGTTAAGGGGCTGCAGTCGGCACCAGTAACGGTCTTAACTTGGGTAGAAGATCGGCCTATGTCTTCACGGACAGCCAATTGGATTCTCCAGCTCAGTGATGGTGAAATTTTTGGGGGTCTTCCACTTGAGTTTTTTGTTGCGAGAGACCCCGTTTATGAGGTTCAACAACCCAACCACGTTTAAAAAGGGAAATATTTTGCCTTTGCTGTCAGATTGTCATGACAGTGTGACTACCTGACAGAAAATGACAATGAAGCCACATTTTTGCACAGATTTGGCTCTTTAAAGGCATGTGGTCTTAAACTTTTGATCAGCTGTAAAACAGCCTGTTTCGGTTTCAGTGTTGTTTTCAATAAATTGCATGCTCAAAACGATGTTTTGTCTCACTCCCAATTCTTCTTGTTGCATGTTGAAGCTCTACTTGGAACCTTGTTAAAATCCAACCATGCAAAATATGATTTTTTTTGCCATTTTTGCAAGTGGTCTTAAACTTTTGATCGGGACTATATGCAAGGGCACTTGAAAATTATATCAATCCATAAAATTGAAGGTGTATAATAAAGGTTACATGGACAACCTCATACAGGTTCAACACAGGATGAACTCATAAAGGTTATCAGTGCGGGTAAATAATTTCATTCAGTAAGCACTGGCTTAACAGAGACTGACGCAAGTGTTAAATAGGATTGGTTTGTCAATAGTGATGAGAGGGTGACTGACATGTGACATGTCCATACACCTTTTTTCTTTAGTCATGATCACCTGCTGAGCCAAGTGTGGATTACAGCAGACAGACACCTGAATTCACACACACAAATGACATAACAAAGAAGAACAAGGACAAGTTTAGAAGCCAATACTTTCATCTTTATTAATCTTGTTCTCATTTTGTTTAAATAAATTTTTTTTTTTATTTGTAAAATCTCAAAACGAAAACACTGAACAGGAGTGTTAAAGCCTGTCTTAATTTAAAACGAATACACAACAACAGAACATTAAAAACGTACGGTAACGCTTACTCTGCATCTGTAAACAACCCATCCCACCCCTCCCTCCCGCTCTACACAGTTTGATAAGATTTTGGCATGTCCATTTTTTTTTTCTCGACGCGTATGCCTTCAGCTCTTTGTGTCATTAAAATGTTCTTTTTTATTATTGCAGGTCGGACAATAAAAAAAGACAAGTCTGCTTTAAAAAAAAAAGAAAAAACAACTTCAAATGAGAGAGAAAAGCATTAGTGCGAATATTTCTTAACACACAGTCAGCAGTATACTGAATGCACTCAAAAACATTTTTGTATAGACCTTCTGTATAAGTAAGCAGCCTTGCCCACATTATGACAGGCATTAACATGCACACACATCATCCTCACATTCACGCACTCACGCATGACAACTGCGGTGGTTTAATCCACTTACTTGGTCTCAGTCTCACTCACGCTCAGTGTGTACGACACTACGCGTGCACACAGTATCAACACATGGAGAAATGCATCATAGCCTCAAACTGCCTGCAATTTAACATTTATCACTGCAACAGTAACAACCATGTTCAAGAGAGAATAACAGAGAAAAAGAGTGCGTGAGATACAACAGTAGGAGGTCAGCATTTTGAAAACAGAACAATGACATTTTTCAGTATTTTCACTGTTTAAAAATTAAAACCATACAAACAAAAACAAAACAGAAAACAAACTTAACATACACAGTAAGATACAGTTCTGCTGTCAATCAGAGCTGTTTGCATGTGTTTGGATTCGATCTCCATCTTTAAGGGGACGTGAATACAAACTGCACTTTAAACCTCACATCATGTAGTAGTTTTAAGTTCTCTTTTACGATGAAGGTAATGCTGTTTACAGTGCCTATCTGTCTGAAGGCTTCTCTGTATTTGGTGTGTGCATGTGTATGTAAATCTGCTGAAAAGTCACCTATTTACTAAGCACATTGCAATCCAGTCAAGTCTTTCAGACCAACTGACTTTTCATTCTTTTTTTTTTTTTTTCAGGATTCAAGTCTAAGCAGTTGAAATCTTCATCTGTGGAAAAAAGGCTGTATACACATCTAACAGTCCCTGCATTTGTTTTATATAATAGCTTAAGTCTGGCCACGAGAATGTGTGTAAGCATGTCTCACATTTCTGCTTTGTGTGTGCACATAAATTTGCATACTACGTATACGTATGCACACGTGTGTATATGTGTAGTACATTTATATGCATACCATGTAATGCGTGTGTGTATGTTTGTGTATATGTGTGTGCGTGTGCCATAGTAAGTACATATGAATCCCAGTGTATGCTGTATCAGTGTGTCCAAACCTACACGTACAAATGGAAGCAGGGGGGGGAAAATCCTCAGATGGAATCGGTTCCTCCCCCCAGCAGGTCGCCGGGCAACAATCCAGCAGGGCTGTCCATTTGGTGCCTTTCCTCCATCTGCGGTGCCCCCCACAGGCTGCTGCTGGGGTATCCTGCAGTCATGCCTCCCCAAAGCCCAGACCTCCCAGACTCGACTCCCCCGACGCCTCCTCCCTCCCCAGCCCCGTTGGTGCTCCACTGGGAAAATATCCCCAGCCCGGGTCCTTGGGCTGAGGAGCTCTCTGAAGAACTACCTGTACCATCAAGACTCTGCCAGCCAGAGCCAGAGGACCTAACTCCAGCTAGAACTGCTGCTCCACTCTCTCCTCCACTGCCATTTCCGTTTCCACCCGAAGTTGCCCCCACAGCTGCCCGCTCGCTCCCCGGAGAACTTCCTCCACTGCTGGCCACCACAGTTGTGCCTGTTCCGGATGAACCCTGTGCCCCACCGGTCGCTGCCCCTCCTGAGCTGGCTCCCTCTGACCCTCCGGCCTGGGAATGTGCAACATAGCGAGCAACTTCTTCTTCGCTCACAAACTCCGCCAGGATCGTGGTGTTGCCCAGGACACACCTGTTTAAGAAAGTTATAAGACAAGGTTCTTCAGGTCAGTATGTGCAGGGTTACCGTTTGCTTCACGCGGAGCAGTGAGGGTATAGGTAAACTTACATGTGCAGTGCACCCTGGGCCTTGGCTGCTTCCTGCCGGGTGCTGTAACGAATCAGAGCGCTGCCCTGGGTCAGGCCAAGGTGGAAGGTCAGCAGGGGGCCATGCTGCATACAGATAGTCCTCAGCGTGGAGCCATCAATCTACAGGGAAGAAGGAATAATTGTATAAATACCGTATAGGATTAGACTCTGGAGGGTGTTTGTCATATTTAGAAGGACCAATTTTGGTGAAAAATCCATTACTGTGAAGAGATTCTTGAGTTCTGAGGAACCCAAACATAACGTAAGACTTTGATTAGAAAAGATTACTGATAGTCACTTTATTGCAATGGTAGAGGTAAAAGTAAGGAGCGAGGAGTTATATTACATCGACCAATGTCCTCAGCAGAACGCGTGGATGTGTGATGTAACGTTCATAGGGCAATTATCCACTATCTTGAGTGATCACTTGTCGGGCCAGAGAAAGGTCAGGTAAGGAGGCCACAC